AAACGATAATTTCCGGAGTTCTAGATTGTTATTAATATTGATCTGAAGGCTGAATCGCCTGAATGATCTATTTCGCTTCCGAAAAGCTTCGTAATCGCTCTCAATAGTCAATTTTTAGCAAATCCAGTACCCAAGTGACTAAAATAATTTTACAACAACGTTTTTTATAAGATTATAAGCCTTAAGGTACTTCCTCAGTCAGTTATACCTGGTGAAAATTTCGCAATGTAAGAAAGACACGAAACTTAGATCATATATTGTTGAGCACATTGAAAAACAATTTTCAAAATTTGAAGAATTTTTTCCACGTGACTTTGAGAAATGCCTTGTCAAAAATAATAATTTTTTTTTCCATTCTTCACGATGAATATCTCAAAAGTTCGTGTGAAAAAATACTTAAAATTTTGGAAATTGTTTTTCAATGTGCTCAACAATATATGATGCAAATTTCGTGTCTTTCTTACATTGTGAAATATTCACCAGGTATAACTAATCGAGGCCCGGTTGCACCCTGATGGGGAGGTAGACGTGGAGCCATCACCGAAGAAGAATCAGAACTGAGAAAGCCAATGATCAGTCCAGCTTTACCGCTGCCTCGATTATTGTTACGAAGAAGTCTGCCTCTAAGGATCCGAAAGGAACCCCTGCCGTTGGGAGAGCTTCTAATGTCAAGGACATATCAAATGAATCAAAGAAAATTCCATTGGGTAAGGGAAGCAAGGACAAACAAGAGGGGGGTATGATCGCAGCAAAATTGGGGGAAAACAGTGGAGGCAGAAATGATCACACTTCATCCGCAGTCATTCAAACAGCGGGACAGGGATTTAATGGAGACAATGAAGGATTTTTGGTTGATTCACTTTCCGAAGCCGAAGAAGCGAGTGGTGTTAATGGGGAAAATTACGAAGTCGAGAAGGAAGGTAATGAGGGCGATCATGATGAAGACAAGGAGGACGAAGAGTCTGAAGAAGAAGATGAGAAAAAAGATGAAGAACAAGCCAACCAAAAAGAAGTGGATAAACCGGAAGGCACTCAGGAAGAAGGAGATGATGATGATGATAAGAAAGGCGAAGAAGAAGAAGATGAGGTTGACGGAAAAGTTGATGAAGGAGAATAAGAGGGATCTCCTAGCCATGCGTATCATTTTCATAAGCATAAAAGTTCTCTTATTCATATTGACCGCTAATTTTCTTATTGACATTTAATATTTCTTATTTAAGTTAATTTGATATTCATTTAAATGCAAACGAAATAAATGTAAGTGTATTTCATAGCTTTCAGCTGTTTAAATATATTTTCTGCACATGTAAGAATTTCCGCTATATTTCCATTTCTTCATTTAAAGGTAAGGTTAATTGAATTTTATATATTCTTAATTGAGGTACCATTCGGTTTAAATTCGGTCCAAGGAACGTGGAACGGCCTTTTCTTAGACGTGGAATAGATGTCTTGCGGACATCCGCTCTTCACCATCAAAATCCATAATTAGATGTCCGCCGGACCTCTTAAGAACAGCTCGCAAACATACCTCGGATGTCTTCACGTCGACTATGGAACTTAGTATAAAGTCTTGGGGACAAGGTATGGACGTCTGCTGGATGTGGAGTGGACATCTTGCAGACATCCGCTCTCTATCCATGAATGCCAATAATTGTCTTCAAGGACGAAATATGGATGTCTGCCGGACGAAGGGCGGGCTCACCAATATACCCCGGATGTCCTTACGACAAATATGGAACTTTGTGTTCATTCCTAAGGACGCCCGGCGGGCAGGGAATAGACGTCTTACAGACATCCCCTATTAGTTCGTTACCTGCCAGTAATTGTCCTTGGAGACGAAATATGGATGTGTGCCGGATGTCCTAGGGACAGCTCGCGAACATATCCCGAATGTCCTCACGTCAAGTAAGGGACTTTGTATCAAGTCCTGAGGAGGAGGTACGGACGTCTGCTGGATATGGAGTGGACGTCTTGCAGACATCTGCTCTCCATTCATGAATCCCAATAATTGTCCTCCAGGCTGAAATATGGATGTCTGCCGGATGTCCTAGGGACAACTGGCGAACATATCCCGGATGTCCTCACGTCGACTATGAAATTTAGTATTAAGTCCTGGGGACGAGGTACGGACATCTGCTGGATGTGGAGCGGACGTCTTGCAGACATCGGCTCTCTATCTATGAATCTCAATAATTGTCCTCAAGGACGATATATGGATCTCTGCCGAACGTCCTAGGGACAGCTCGCTAACCTATCCCGAATGTCCTCACGTCACATATGGAACTCTGGGTTCAGTCCTAAGGACGCCCGGCAGACATGGAAAGGACGTCTTACAGAACTCCCCTGTTTGCTCATGACCGCCCAGTAATTGTCCTTGAAGATGAAATATGGATGTCTCCCGGATGTCTTAGGGATGGGGAAAGAAGACCCGACCTTTTGTCCTGAAGATGCAGAATGGACGTCTGATGGACATCTGCAACGCGTCTGCAAATCATCTTCGAGACACGGTATGAGCCCTGTAAGAACGTCTTGTAATTGTCCCGAGTTGACCCGAAATGCAACATTAGGACGTCTTCCAGACGTCCGGACTTATCGTCCTAATTTTGTCCTGACCACGTCCTCTGGTTCATCAGGGTAGCTATTCAAACCCCCAGATAAATTTATCCCTGTATAATTCGTATGGGCTGACTGGCTGTTATCTGGCGGTTTAGTTAACAGACGATGGTGCAACTGAGCCTAAGCAAGTACCTTAACACGACTAACTCTATGTACATCTTCAGATGGTTTTTTTAATTAAAAATTCGAAAGATGTAATTTTTTTGCGGTAAATTGGACTCTTTCCATGAAGATGTACACACGCATGACAAAATTATATTGGAATTCTATAGGATGTCTATTGGAATTCTATTGATAAATTTACTTTCTATTGAGAAATATCGAGCAAATTTGCTAGGTTTTCTATTAAATTACACAATACATTATCGAACATTACAAATTGAGAAGATGAGCTGAAATTTTGTACAGTTCCATTTCATCATCGACTCATAATGAGACTTTATTTATTCATTCAACCATACTCATCACTCACTGCGTTCATCAGAAAAAATTGCAGTTGAACTAAAAAATGAGTAAACTTTATTGAATAGTATTGAATAGTGTTACGTCTGGAGACGTATCGCATTTTTATTGAAATGAAAGAAAAATTGATAATGATTGAAAAATAATAGAATTAGAAAATGATGAATAATACGTGGTTTCAAAAAGCATTTCGCATTGGAGGTAATCGAAAGCAAGTCTCATTTTTAATCGATATTACTCGTGAAAATATAAGAAGGAATTTAATGAAGAAAAAAGGGTATAAAAAAAGAATAAGTTCATGTAACGATCATGCGATCGTTGGGTGGCAACACTTTGAATTGTCTCCAAGAGCGTTATCACCAGGAGGTTCAGGTATTCGTGCCGAGGTGTACCTTGGTGCATCAACATCATGTCATGCCCCCTCCTTTGACAAACACAACAAAATTCATACACATACATTAATTAGTACATCCTCGCAATCCAAGGTAATAAAAGAGCGTCGATGCACCCCCAAAGTTAGTTCCCGCCGTTCTTCGTTCCGGGTCATCTCTCGCGTCGTCTAGACCATTCAAAAGTTGAAGAATTTGGTCCTTCTTACTTCTCTCTTCAAGAGAAACTAATTAAGGTGTGAACTTCCGTTCCGAAAAATTGTAAATTTTTTTTTACGTGAAATTATTGTGAAATCTAACTAACCAAATATTGGATTACTTCAAGAAACTACAACAAAATGGATGAGTAAAACAAAATAAATAATAAATTTGATTTAAATCGGGAAATGACATGGTGAAAAGTTTAACGGTTTCAAAAATTCAAGAAAAAAAATCAATAATTATTGAATATTTGAGAATTTTAGTTCGGGGAACTCAATATAAAAAAAAAGTTTCGATTCTTGATGTAAATTTTTGCGTTGATTCGAGGCAAAAATTTTATATTGTATGACAATTTATATTCAAAATTGGTGAAAATTAATCCATTTGTAAATTGTTTACTTCAAAGAATTTGATTTCGTTAAAATTTGAATATAATTTAAATAAATATTGACTTCATTTATTGTGAATTTTTATCCTCTATTATTCTAACAATTCACCCGACTCCAATCCCGAGCTATTACCGAAAGGTAGGCTCAAAATGAAAGAAAATAACTGTCATAATTTTCCAGAATTTATTTGATTATCAAAATTATTATTAAATATTTACTGGGAAATCATGACGTAACAATAGTGAACAAAAAAGAAAAGTCAAAAGAAATCATGTCTTCGGACTGGGCTGTCAGAGAAATTTGAGAAAGTTTTTCAATCCCATCCGCCCTCAATTGTAGAAAAGAATCGCTATCAATTTTCAAGAGGGGTTAACTCACTTGTCGTGGAATTATTAAATACTTTTAATAAAAAATATTTTTTTATCATGTATAACGTGAAAAATTATTCTGAAAATATTTTCAAATCATTCTTTAAATTCTTTTTCAAGTCAAAACACAAAGAATGAAATCTTTTCCTTTTTTAACGAATAAATAAATATTATACATAAACCACTATCAAAATCATGCACGCTCATTTCCTAGTAAGTGAAAATTTCACTGAAATGCAGGTTTTCTGATTTGATTTGATTGTTACGGGAAACCAGAATATTTTTTCTCTCGTACTAATTCGTGTGAGGAGGAGTACAATCCACTAAAGACCCTCGCGCTCTCCCTAATTTTTCCCGCGTTTCTTCATAACGTCTCTCATCAGTCGATAAACTCATCCGGTAAATTATCTTCTAAATTAGGTGCTGAACATTCAAACGCAGTCGGTAATACTCCCCAGGAAACTGCTTTATCGTCCCGTTTTCCCTAAATACATGAAGAATAGAGACCTAGTCTGAATACATCGCTTACTTCTATATGAATACAATTTTATTTCATGAGACTTCGAAGGGATAAGTAACTAGAGGGCGCCACCTTCAACAAGTGGTATTCCGTTATTTCTCACAATTTATTCCATTACTCAATTTACACTTGAAAAATTGTTAATAGATAATTCTGAATGTTCAGAATGCTCGGGGAAAGGTCCAAGAGTTTCGTTCCATCCTCAGACGTTGTCGAGGTAATACCAAAAATTATAGCATCGTCAATCAATAGAGAAATAACAGTGAATTGGTTATTGGCGGCTGTCCTTTTTTGTCTAAATCACTGTATGCCATTGTAGGTGGATGTTCGCGAGGATGAGGAGCAGGCTGTCAAGTTCAGTGAAATTGTCGATCTCCTGGTGGCTGCTGGGTACTTCAGGGCTAGGATCAAGGGATTGTCGAACTTTGACAAGGTTATTTTCGTCAATGTCAAGAGTAGACGTAAGGAAAAATTGTCAAATGAGAATGCGAAAGGGGCACCATCCGGTAGTGACGGAGTATGGTTTTTGGGCTAAAGAAGATATTTCAAGTTAGAATTGTATAGATAAATTCAAAATAATATTTAGTTTAAAATAATCAATTAGGGAGATATCTCAAGCACATTGAATTATAGAATATCATAGGGGCAAAATGGATATTTTCTGAGCTCATCCGATTTCTTCGGGGTAAAATGGGTCTTTTCTGAACTCGTACGATTTCATGGGGGTAAAGAGTATTTACTGACCATATACGATTTCGTTGGAGCAAAATGGGTATTCTGTGAACTTTTACGATTTCATTGGGGTAAAATGGGTATATATTGACCTCATACGATTTCATGGGGGCAAAATGGGCATTTTCTGACCTCATACGATTTCATTGGGGTAAAATGGGTATATATTGACCTCATACGATTTCATGGGGGCAAAATGGGTTTTTCGTGAACTCATACGATTTCTTAGGAGCTAAATGGGTATTTTCTAACCTCATACCATTTGTTAGGGGTAAAATGGGTCTTTGCTGTACTCCTACAATTTCATGGGGGCAAAATGGGCATTTTCTGACCTCATACGATTTCATTGGGGTAAAATGGGTATTTACTGACCCCATACGCTTTAATTGGGGAAAAATGAGTTTTTCGTGGACTCATACAATTTCATTGAGGCAAACTGAGTATTCTGTGAACTTTTACGATTTCATTGGGGCAAAATGGGTATTCTGTGAACTTTTACGATTTCATTGGGGCAAAATGGGTATTCTGTGAACTTTACGATTTCATTGGGGCAAAATGGGTATTTTCTGACCTCATTCGATTTCATGGGGGCAAAATGGGTATTCTGTCAATTTTTACGATTTCATGGGGGCAAAATGGACATTTTCTGACCTCATTCGATTTCATGGGGGTAAAATGGGTTTTTCGTGAAGTCATACGATTTCATAGGAGTAGAATGGGTGTTTCGTGTACTTCTACGATTCCATAGCAACAAGATGGGTATTCTGTGAACTTAATAAAACTTAATAAAACTCATCACTACATACATAAATTAGATATCACATGCATATCATCACGATTTGGACCACGGCTATCTTCAAAACTACACCGTGTAGAGATGTGATAACTTCATCCCTGTACTGTATACTGATCCGTTGCAACTGTGATTCATTGAGGAAATAACGGATTTAGGGGACATATCCTACCAGACAGGTAAGTCTTTTATATTTTTCTTTTAATAATATTATGAATCTTTTTCGTAATTTTCATCTAGGTCACAATGCTTCTGTGTATTAATTATTCATTCTTTTCCAAGTCGACAATTATTATCGAAATCGAGATACGCGGCAGCATATCGGCCAAGAAAAGTTTTGACTCCGATTGTACAAAACATCAGGCCGATCGCTGCCGTGTATCTATACACGAAGCAACTACCCCCTCCACTACCTCCGAATCATATCCATTAAATAAAATACAAACGTGACGAGCTACATGAAAAATACTCTTAGTTACATTATATAAATTGGCCACAAGCTTCTCATTGATGTAACTATTTTTTTGTTCGAAGCAATATTTAAAAAAATACGCGCATAGCAACGGGTTCATATGCACATTCTCGCGTTTCACATCAACTCCTGTCATTTTTTTGTTACGTAGTTGGTAGCAGTGCAATACAACCACACGCACCAAGGAGGGAAGCCCGGGAATTTACAAATTGAATATGGTGCACGAATGATGAATTCCACAGATATTTTTCAATCGAGTTTCGTGCACAAATGAATTCTCGAAGAAGCAAATTCAGTCGGAAAATCTTGAATAAATAATTAAAAGTCGGTGCAAATAACGACTGTGGAATAGAACTATTTGTTTTACTTNAGGAACTAATACCTCGTATAAAAAATACCGGAGGGAATAGCAAATATTTACGTTTCAATTTATTCTGAGCTATTTCAGCATAACTTAGAGGTACCTTTATTGGAACCATTTGCACATATTTCGTAAATGCTTCACCACTTACAGGCAAAAGGTATAACATTTCCTGAAGGAAATTCCAAATTTCAACTTTTCAGATGATTTCCAGACATCTCAACCTATCTTTCGGATACCATTTCTTCAAAACTTTACGGAGAACTTCTGAACATTTTGGAAAATTTTTGAAAAAGTAACTTATTAATCTTAATGAAGATGATTTTCAACCGTTTTCTATTTAACAATGATTAACTCCTCCATCCTACGATTACATGGGGGCAAAAAAAAACAACTGAAAAAGTAACTTATTAATCTTATAAAAATTTTCTTTACGGATTGCGTATAAAACCCTATAGAATTTACATACATGATGATCGGATATTTGTATAGGAATATTTTCTATACGATTTATTTCTATACATAAATTTTGACGTAATTTTTTGTTTTCGTACGAAAGATATGTAAACGCTCTAGAGAAAAACGTAAAGAAATGGTGCATTTCCATATAGGATCAAATCTATAGAAATCGTATAGAAATAACGTGTATTCAAAATATCCGTATTAAAATATCCGAATATCAGAAAAAATCCTATATAAATTCTAGACGCAATCCATTTTACCCCCATGAAATCGTAGGAGGTCAGTAAAGACCCACCATTTTACCACAATGAAATCGTAAAAGTTCACAGAATACCCATTTTGCCCCAATGAAATCGTAAAAGTTTACAGAATTCCCATTTTGCCCCCATGAAATCGTATCAGGTCAGAATATACCCATTTAGCCCCTAAGAAACCGTATGAGTTCACGAAAAATCCATTTTGCCCCAATTAAATGGTATGAGTACTAGAAAAACCCATTTTGCCCCAATGAAATCGTATGAATACAAGAAAAACCCATTTTGCCCCAATGAAATCGTATGAGGTCAGTAAATACCCATTTTACCCCAATGAAATCGTAAAAGTTCACAGAATACCCATTTTGTCCCCATGAAATCGTAGGAGTTCACGAAAAACCCATTTTGCCCCCATGTAATCGTAGGAGTTCAGAAAAGACCCATTTTACCCCGAAGAAATCAAATAAGGTCAGAAAATATCCATTTTGCCCCTATGATATCGTATAATTCAATGTGCTTGAGATATCTCCCTAATTGATTATCTTAAACTAAATATATTTTGTATTTATCTATACAATTCTAACTTGAAAACTCTTCTTTACCCCAAAAACCATACTCCGTGGCGTCACTACCGGATGGCGCCCCTTTCGCATTCTCATTTAACAATTTTTACGTTTGACAATTTTTCCTTACATCCAAGAGAAGTATATTTGATGATAAAAAATTTTTTCTGCATGACAGGTAGTTGGAGGAATGACATGGTGCATCGAGTCTTGCAGTTTCGATGTTGATGTCAATCTTCTGTTTCATGAAAATTTAACAATTGGACAAAAAATGTAAGATTAACAAATTTGTTGAATTGATATTTTCAATTAGCAATCTTTTTTTAAGGAATATTCTTCGATTTAAAGTGGACAGACAAATTTACCCAAGAGAAAATTTCGTAGCTCCTATTTTGCTGCGAAAAAAGGTTCTCTTGATGATGTTGGTATCTTTATTAGATTCAGAAATACTTATCAATTACGAAATGTGTTCTCTTCATTTCCACGTTTTTCCAATTTTCTGTAGTTTTACTTGGACAATAGTTTTCTTATAATGTCAGAATTAAAGAGAGAAAGTCGAATTCTTCGACAAATTATTAGAAAGGAATAAATTTTTCAAAAAATATTTTTCATAACTTTCGTTTGGCTCTACAAAAAAGAACCTCATAAGAATTTCGGTATCTCTCAGATTCAGAAATATTCATAAAAATTGATAACGTTATACTTATCTTTTTCAATTCATTGCAATTCTAGTTTGAGATAAGTTTTTGTAAAATAGGGAAATTCTTAGAAGGATATTTTTTGCAGCTCTCATGAAAAAGGGCCTATCCCTTTAAAATTGAAAAAAATTCTTTTGACTTATCAATAAGTGCCGACCCTTGATGGGCTATTTATAATGAACATTGTAGTGTTACTAAAATTTCTTTGGGCCATCTTCAGGTGAATCACAATAAAAAATCACAAAAATAACTAGTTAAATTGCACTACGATTCGAATGCTCGCGGCATTCCTCTTCAGGTGCATACATATTTTATTCTAAAAGTAATCATAAAGACAAAATCAGTAACTAGTAATTCGAAATAATTGATTATTTTCTATTCTTGTTAAAGATGTCAAATTGTTATAATACAGTTTAGATTTCAACAATAGTTATTTAATCATATAATTACTAATTTTGTCTTCATGATTTCTTTTAGAATAGAATATGCACCTGAAGAGGAATACCTTGAGCATTTGAAACGTAGCGCAAGTTAATTAGGTATTTTTGTGATTGTTTATTGCTGCTGACCTGAACGTGACTCAAAGAAATTTTAATAACTTGAAAACATATGGTTGAGAACCATAGAGTATTTTATCAAAATCGAGATTTACCATTGGTTCACTTTTTGTTTCCATTTACATTACAATTTCCGGTTTTTGTTAGATTAAAGTTTGTTTTTTTCACACACTCATCGGCTATTCCTAGAGTAATTAAAAAATATTGATCAAAAACTGAGAAGAAGTGAAAAAGACTGATTTTGTTTTACTCATTAATTAATTGTTTCTAGAGCTTTGACTGAGAAAATCGTTGTAATGCTTCCGAAAATGAATTGTCCACATCGAATTGAACCCCATCAGATACAGGGATTAGATTGTATTCACATATTTCCAGTTATCCAGGTAAATATAAAAAAATTATCATGTATTTCCTGTTTTACAAAATTAGTTATATTACTTTACAATACGTAATTCAATCGAATTTTCTTTTTTTTCTTCATCGAAAAATATTTCTACCCCTTCAGAATCCATAATTTCTACAAGTTTCCCTTGAATTCCATTTCTGTCTTTATTTACTGATTTTTTCATTTGATTTTTTCAGTGGCTTGTGAAAAGATCAATAGAAATGAGAAAAGAAACCGCAGGTTTCGTTCGAGAATTCGCAATAAATCAATTCGATAAAGTGCATTCCTTAGACGGAAAATCAGGGAGTGAAGATGCAAAGGAGAGTATTGAAGTTAATATTCAATTAGCTAGGAGAGCATATCAGCCCCGAAGAAGATTCAAAAGAACAACTGCCGCTCCAAAAGATGAAACGGCGAAGGTTAAGACCACCCTGTTGGAGTATGGAGTTCTACCAGTAACTTCAACAGCCCCTAAAGCCTCCAAAAGTAACCAAGGAGGTCCCGAAAGAATTGAAGAAGGTGGGGGTGATTCGGTAAATGCTGGAGCTCAGGTTGTTCATTTGGAAGAAGAAAGACTGAGTGCTAGTGCTGTGGGGGGCATTGTGGGACTCCAGGCACAGGAAATCGTTGAAGTTTCGGAGAGATATGCATCGTTATCTGTTGAGGATGGGGTAATTACTCGTCTCATTATAATTTTTATCTTCCACGTTCTCCCGGGCGACTCCCTCAATAAAAATTTTTATTCTTTTTTTTTGGAAAGTTTTATAGATTGAGACACATTTTCTAATTTTGAAAAAGGTCCTCTTCCATTCCTCCTTGAAACCACTCATTTATAACCAAGCCTGTTCCAAGAGTAAGAATTAAAATAATTGTCGAATTAAATCATATCATTTATATGAAGAATTATTTTAATATTTATGAAGTTAAATGTTTAAAAACTTAATCGGAAATATACCTGAATGCAATATAAAATCATGGGGATAAAATTCATATGAACGAATCCGCCAATTCGGTATATGAAAAAATGCCTCAAAATTTTGAAAATTTTTTTCTATTTTTTTATCGAAAAGTATATAATATTGACTATTCATAAATATTAAAATAATTCTTCATATAAATGATATGATTTAATTCGACAATTACTTTAATTCTTACTCTTGGAACATGCTTGTTTATAAATGAGTGGTTTCAAGGAGGAATGGAAGAGGACCTTTTTCAAACTCAGAAAATGTGTCTCAATATTATTTTTTTCAACAACTCAACAACTCAACAACTTTTTTTTCACTTCTAATTACGCACCATTAAGAATAACAAAAAAATTTGAACTGCATTTTACCACTGCGTTTGTGAGAGCACCAAAAATAAGAATATGTTTTTGTCAGGAAATTTTCTGAACTTTCCGATGAAAAAACAAATAAAAAAGGCTGGGGAACGACCCCAAATGACCAAACGGTCATTTGGGGTCGTTCCCCAGCCTTTTTTATTTGTTTTTAGAAATTTATGAACATAAATTTCTATGGGTTCAAATTTTTTTGTCCCAAATGACCGTTTGGTCATTTGGGGTCGTTCCCCAGCCTTTTTCATTTGTTTTTTCATCGGAAAGTTCAAAAAATTCCCTGACAAAAACATATTCTTATTTTTGGTGCTCTCACAAACGCAGTGGTAAAATGCAGAGCAAAGGAAAATTTAGTCCTCCCAGTTCGAACAATAAATAAATCTAGGAAAATGACCTTCATTTTCATGATTTATTGAACATTGATTAGTAGAAATTAAATCACCTAAATATCATAATCCTGCACAGAACTTAATTCAGAGGTGAAGACATGAAACAAGATGTTTCACTCAGAACCGAAAAATAGTTTTTGGGCTATATCTCGGAATGCAAAGGAGATAAAGGGATTCTTGAAATAACCTTTGTAGTAGATCTCATTCTTCCCTACAAGAAAGATTTTTATAAAAAAATCAATACTTTGTTTCAATCCTGAGATATTGTAAAACCACTAATTGACAACTGAATCTGGAGACAATTTTTCAATGAATCTCTCTGAATATACGTTGAATGGAAAAATTTATAAAAGAGCTTTTTTGTAGATTTCGTTCTGCTCTACAAAAAAGATTTATACAAAAAATTCTTTATCCCCTTCGAAATATTTTTTAAATATTTCGAAATATTTGTGAAGAACGCATTTTTGAGAGGGCAAAATTTTGTTTTTCTCTGCATTTTACCTTTGAGTTTGTGAGAGTACAAAAAATGAAAATATGCATTTGTTAAAAAATTTTCTGAACTTTCCGATGAAAAAAAAAACAAAAAGGGGTGGGCAATGTATCTATTGTATTTACCTTCCCCGTCACCAAACGACACCAAATGACCTTTTCAAACTTTCTTTTTGAGTTTTCCATGCCAAACTACATAGATACATAAAAAACAATATCTTTTTCGAAAAGCTGAGAACATTTCCAACAGAATCTATGGGTTCAATTTTTTCTTATTATTAGTGGCTCGTAATTAGAATAGAAAAGAAATTTTTTAGAAGAAAAAAATCAATCATCAATATCTTCGCCAATAATTGTGTTAGAGAGCTCCGTTTGCGCTCAATTTTTTTCTCCTTTTGGACTATACTTTCTGATAAAAAATGAAAAAATACTGTTGAAATTTTAAAGCAATTTTTCCTATACAGAGTTGGCGGATTCGCTCATAAAAACTTAGTGTATCGATAATGAGCACGGTTGATCTTCATTTTCTCTCTAACTCTTATTTAACACTGAATCATTTCCAAAATTTCTTATGTCATACCCCAACTCTATAAACCGAATCTTGAAGCTATCGTATATATTAGACCTTCCAGTCTAACTCATTGCCCTTTATTTTTTTGTTGCATATTCGGTCACGCAAGTACCGCAGTCTCTTCTCTTTCATTCCTTTACTTTGGGCATATAAAATAAAGAATCAACCACTTACTGTATTTTTCAAAAATATAGACATACTTCACTGATAAATTTTGTTCGGTTTAGGATGCATCAAGTGAGTCTAGAGTGTCAGCAGCTCTCGAAAAACAAAGATCTAATCTCCAAAATCGTGTGAAGAGGTTGAAGAAGGAGAGAGAAGGCCAAGTTCTCAAAATATCTGAAGAAACTGAACAATTGAGGAAAATACAAGAGAATAGACAAAGCGTTGAGGATGCGTTCATAAGGATGAACGAGATGGAAACAGAAGAAAATAAAGGGTACTAAAAATCCCATTGAACAAACTCCGTTTTTAATTAGAATATCTCTAGAATGAGTGGTGTGAGGGACGAATTTCTCCCTGGAACAACTCTTTTCCACAACAATTGCGTTTGACATTCAATTAAGGAATTTTTTTTAACATAACGTGATTTGTTTTAGGACCCTATTGAAATTAAAGGAATTACTAGCAGTTCATGCAGGCCTCAAAGACCAAGAACACAAGTTCAGAGAACAATGTAAATCCGATCTACTGTACCTCCAGAAACTAGTGGAAAACTGTGGAGAGACTTGTGAACCCCAAGAGGAGCAAAGTAGAGTCGCTGAGTATGACGCACTAAAGGAATCAATTTGCAAGACTAGACTGCTATTAGCTAAGAAAAATCGTGCGATTGCTTCGTTGATGAGACAGTTGGATGATGTGCCTGGGCGGTCTGAGTTAACACAGTATCAGAGGCGATTCATGGAGCTTTATAATCAAGGTTCGTCGGTTGGAAACAAATTATTGAAAATTTATCATCATTTTCAAGTTTGCGAATCATCGAAGAATAATGTTTTTTTTTTCATTTTTTTTTACAGTGTCAACAAAACATAAAGAGACTAAACAATATTACACTCTTTACAACACATTAGATGATACAAAACTTTATCTCAGCAAGGAATTATCACTTCTGAATTCAATTCTGGAGAACTACAACGAGTGAGTATGATACAAATAAATGGAAACAATAAAATGTGAAAAGTAGCATTTGACTTCCTTGTCGATTATAAAATTATAAGAAATGCCAAGAAAACTGTTTCTTGGTATTTTCTTCTAAAGACCACTCATTTTGGAGATAATTCCATAATTACGAAGGATAAAAATATCCACTCTAATTACAAATCAATCATTTTATGAGGAAATTACAGAAGACTTTTTTCTAAGATTATTCAATTGTCTGAAAATGTCTTCCGACATTTTCCCTAAAACAAGAATGTTGAAAGTAAACTTTTCACGTTTTACAATTGGACTGTTTTCTATTCCATTGAAAATAATCTAAAAATGTTAAAAATAATATTTTTAGAGCAATGGCATCTACAAGTGGTAAAGAACAATTCCTCAAACAATTCGAGGCGATAATTGCTGGAGTTAAACGAAATAAAGAGAAGGTAAATCGATGTAAAAGGCATATATTTGGTATTCACAGAGATTATTTCATGGAAAAATTTATTTATCTTTCTTATTGATGATCACAACAGGTTGAGAAAAAATGCGCAGAAGAAAAAGAGAGGCGTTTTAATCTCAATAAAGACTTGGTCGCACTTGTCGAGCAACAGAGAAAGTACGTTGCTGCAGTGCGGCAGCTTACAATCGAGTGTCGAAAGAACGAAGCACTTCTTGCCCAACTTCGTGCTACATGAATGCTAAAGAACCTAAAAAAATTTACTCGAAATTGTTATTAAAAATGAAGAGAATGTTTTTTTTTACTATTTCTTGTTAATTGTACATCCATACATGGAGATATAAAGAAATGCTTTTAAGAAGATAAACAATCATGAGAATTAAACTATGAAGTCTAATGAATTCGTGAGTCTTCAAATTCTTCCAATTCCGTTCTTTCAGTCATTGGAGATTTTTTTAGGATCATCATTGAAACGAAAAGGTTTAACGAGAAAGTCGTGAAAACTTTTTGGACAGAATTTAATGGACTAAGAAAAAGTTGTAATATTCGTTAATAAACCTAGTAGTTTATACCATGTTTATTGAATTATCAGTAATGAGTGATTAGAGAATATCAAGATATCTTTCCTGTGGAGAATTTCATGCTCAAAAAGATCTCTTGACATTCCTTTTTACATTCAATAGTTTCAAAGATGTTTGTAAAATAATCTATGAATGCATTCGATACAATTTTTAATCCAGAACTATTGGACTTATCACAAAAACTCAAAAGGTAATATTTGCAGCCGACCAAACTCCCCTTAAAAAACTCTTGACATTTTCCCCAAACCTATTCTAACAATAATACTAATATTTCCTAACAATTCTCTCATTGATTTTCTTTATTCCCCTCCCAAAACTCTCTTAATCATCGGCAAGTGCTCCAAACCTATTTCCAGACACCATCAACCCCTCCCCGTGCTCGGTATCATCATCATCATCATCCTCATCCCCTTCCTCTTCATCACTATTATCTCCCTCATCACTCTTCTCACTATCCTCGTCCTCCGAATACGAATCATGTTCCCCTTCAGCTCCACAGTAATCACTCTCGCCCTCTTTCACACTCGCCTGAATCCACCTGATCATCTCCACATCTTCATGTTTCTCCCATCTTTCCTTTTCCTTGCTCCACCTTTCTGGATAAACAAAAATACAAATCTTGCCTTCCAGCGCCATCCTCAGCAAAGAATTAGCAGCCCTGTAGGTATCCAGCCTAGCAGTTCTGGCAGTTCTGTAATTCCGTTTGGCAGCCCATCCCTCGCAGATGTCCAAGGCCGACCAGGTCTCATCATTCTCCTGATGCTGGATCCTCAGTAATTTTGGTAGATCTAATCTTTCCCCCAAGAACTTGATTGTGGTGTAAGGCTCCCTCACCTGGAAATAAACAATTATAGGAACTAAACTGAAAAATCCATTCAGTGGATCCTTTTCTTTGGAAGAAAATAGCAAAGGTTCGAAAGCAAAGGTTTGCGGAAAAATACTCTAAGAAATTTTTCATGGAAAAATCTCCTGGTCCAGAAAAAAAATTTATACCATTTTTCTTTATGGCTAGTCCTTCTGTAGTGTTGACAAAGTCGTATCCAATTGCGAGATAGATTGTTAACTAGTTTTTCATTAATTATGGAATGATCTGAGTAATGAATTACCTTTGGAGAAGATATCATTATACATTTATTGTATAAAATTTCGATGTTTTTCTATAAAAAATATCGCTTGATAATTTTCTATGAAGGCTGATAGATATGTAAATCATTAGACTCGCTTAAAGTACAGTCGATCATTTTCTATTGGGTATCGGGAAAATGGTTTGATTTTTTTTTTCATTCAATAACGAAAAATCTGATTTTGATTTCACAATTTCAAAATTGTTGTCAACTGTATTTAGATTTTAATCTCTATCGATAATGTAAATGTTGGAGATTGTGGATTTTCGTCAGAACATTAAAACGCTTATCAAATTGAGAAAAGCAAGTGGAAAATAGCTTTCATATTAATAGAGTCTATTTTTTTTTTTTGCTAATAAATTAGCAATATGCTTCCGAGTGGTCACTTTGCACATCATCTGCTTCTAACATATATAATTCATCACTTCATATCATGATTAAATTCAATGAAATGTCTTCTTTAATCGACTGAGTTATATTTTTAATTTAATTTAATCCTTGATGAAATTTTGAATATGAAATAATATATATCTATACTATTCATTTATTCGATGAAAGTAAAGTCGAAGTAAATTTTCCAAAAAAAGGAAAATCAATAAACTTTTGAATGCTATAATAATAATTTGCGAAATTCTTTTATACAATCGAGTGGAAGAATGATGTTGTCTGTATTATGGAATGAATCTGAAACATTATATTTGAAGAAACCTTCAGAAAGTTTCTTTTCAGAGCAATTTATGAAAAATTATAAAATTTACACAAATCATCATAAGAATAAAACCAACGAATATAGGTACCGGATCGATCTTTCAATTTCGATAGAGTGACTTTAAAACTAATATTTTCAGTTATCATTGAATGAATTTAGAGCATGATATCCACAATTATCCTCGGAATTGTAATTTTTATTAAATATAAATTTTTTGAAAATTACGTTAAAAATCAAAGCAACGATTACAGAACTCACTTGTTGAAGATATTCACAAAGTAATTCGCAATAAATCTCAAGTAATCTTCACCTGAGCAATTGGAAACGATCCCATCAAGATCTGCAGCTGCTTGGGAACAGTCGAAGGAAACACGAGCCCGGGACAATCACAAAGACAAACCGTCTTCGTCAGATAAATCGTCTGAAAATGTTTGGTATGCCCAGGTGTCCTCGACACACTCACCACCTTCTTCCCCATCAATGCATTCATCAACGAGGACTTGCCAACATTGGGCGTCCCAATGCATCCAATAGTAAGAACCCCATTCTTGTATTTTTCATGCTCAAAGTAACTGGTATCCTCCTTCTTAACGATTGTATTCTCCTTATGATCAATGTCCTCGAGATCGTACTCCATCTGCATCTCCTCATGTATCTTCTCCTGCCAGGATGACAGATCCACCTGGTCTCGAACAATTGCCTTGCAGGTCGATAGGAGTTTTTGGGCGCCTTCTGCTGCCATCCTCAGCTTTCCTCTTCGTCTCCTCTGTTTTAATCCTTCGCCGTCTTCTTGGTTCCCTCTGAGGTTGTACTTGGGGAAAGATGTGAAGAATAGTATGTGAACTGTGGGGTAATGCAGCTGGAAGTACTCCCTCCAGGCGAGGACCAGCGCTGGAGAAGCCAGATCAATCTTATTGAGAACCAGAATCATGTCCTTCTTCAGATCATTCGTTACGTAGTTGTATAGATAAGGAGGGAACATCAGGACGGGGTACCTGATATCCACTATGATTAAGAAAATGTCAGACATCTCCAAGACCCTCCAAAGCTGCCTCCATGTCTCCAAGTTCAGCTCGAAGTAGCTAATATCCTTGATACTCTCGAGTTGTCTCAGGTATTCTATGAAGTATTTCTGTTCTCTCATATCTAGGAGCTCTCGGGACATTGAGAAGTCCCAGGGCGGACGTTTTGGCATGTTCAAACCCTCTGGGAAGTAGTTTGAAGAGACTTCCTGTTGGTCCAGGGGGAGGGGGTGAATGGTCTTTCGGCCCTCCTCTTTTCGGTGCTGGAGTTCTTCTTTGGATTCTTGGAAGAACTGGAGGGCGTAGCGGTCTCGACCAGTTGTATCACGAGGTTGTTTGTTGATTTTTTGAATTTTTCCCAGCTCTGAGTGATCATCAACGTCGTCACCTTGCTTTTGGGGGTTTTCTGTTGGCAGGATGTTTAGTTGTTTTAGTTGGGGATGGGTTTGAACTTTTTAGAGGGCCTAAGGAAAGAGACAAGAGTCTTTTTGTGGAAAATTTTATCGACTAAAAAAAAGATATCTTGATGAATTTCAGTAAATCGATCAACTTTGGAGATGGTTGTAGAAATGTAAGAAAATTAACATTTTGAATATATTTAGGATATATCCTAGTTCATGTCCATTGTTGTTAAATATCCGAAATTATTTCAAGGAATGTTAGAAAAAATGAAAATAAAATTTATTTAATTGTCATTTCCTGGTTAAATTAATGTACTTTTCACTTTCTCCAAGATCCTTTGAAATCATTTTGGAGAGTTAATTTATTTGTTTTGGATTGCTTAATTCTCTTCCAATTTCATAATGATTGTTTTGTGAATATCTTTGGCCAATGAGGTTTGAAGAAAAATGTCCGACGTAATTTTTTGCAGAGGATTCAATTGTCTAGCCAAATGATCTTCTGACAGTTTTCTCTACACTCACTAGTTTCGGGGATATTTGCAATGTAATCTTGAAATTCTTAAAATTCTGGAAACGATCCTGTCAAGATTCTTTTGCGAATATCCGAGAATTTGGTAGGTTTTCAGAACAATGTTGGAAAATCTTTTTCTATTGAAAAACCAATTACGAAGAAGTATTTCTGATAATTGTGTCTAAATCTCTTCTTTCCCCAGGTTTTCGCTAAATAATTTCCAAATCGTTTTTAGACAACATTATTCTTCAATGAAAAATGTAACTTGGAATGTAACTTGAGTCAAATTCATAGAATTTATTTAACTAAGAAATGACGGTTACAAAAACGAATCGACGTGGAGGGCACCAGAGAGTAGCCTGAGAGTTTACATAAACATAAACAATGATTTCATAGGGAGGAAGAACAGTGAGTTCTTTCATTAGGTGACGAATATTCTTTTGGTATTTGTGACCAGCATGTACTCTGCTAGGGAGATCCGTAGAGAGCAGACGTATTTTCCTTGTGCGAATTAAATAAAGAAAAGAAGTTAAAGTTCAATCTACTGCATTTCATATTTATTTATATATCCCACAGTCAATAGTAACAATTCAAAGAGGTAAAAATAAAATTGTAACAAATGAGTTTTCCTTGTAGTCTTTCTTGCCATATAAAACTCATTAATTTCTCTTATCAAAGAGGGAAGGGGGACAAAGTATAATATTTGTGATGAACTTTAATTCTTGATATATTCGTCTATACACAGAGATGTGGGGATTTGTAGTTGAGAATAAACGTCCCACATTGCTCCACTTTCGACTCTTATTTAGGATATTATGGAAAAAAGTGAAAAAAGTAACGCAAATTCTGGAAAAAATTGAGACTTAAGATTCTTACATCTAAAATCTACCCCCGAAATCTAGGACTGACGAAAACCGTTTCCGAGAAAATTCAATAGTGGTTTTTGAAAGTTAACATGTCCTCTTATGCAAAATTTTGGTATGTTTCCAAAAGAGCAAAGACTAGTTTGAAATTTTGTAAACTATTGTTTTTTGCTTCCGAACGGAAGTATTCCAATGCTTCGATTTTCACATTCTCTAATTTTGATTGGAAATGATGTAGAATGGTCTGAAACAAAATTTCGAAGTTTGGCGACCATGTCTGTATGTGGCCACGTCCATCGTCATCTTCCCGGTGGTCAATTTTTAGAAAATTGAGTAATTAAGTGGCTAAAGTAATTTCAAAAAATCTGAAATTTTGTTAGATTGTAGGGCCTAATGAGGACTCGCTCTGCGCAAAATTTCAGCCCGATCGATCTAATAGTTTTTGAAAAAAAAGCGATTCACTTTTAAATAGTTTTCCGCAAATAAGTTCAAAACTAGTGGACCGATTTCTATTTTTTTTTCAAAATATTCGTTTCGACATCTTCTATCTAAATCAATCAAAACATATACACTCGTTCATACCAAGTTTTCGAGATATCCCCGTTTTTCAGTTTTTTCATAAAAAACTTTGTAAACTCTCTAGCTTGTGCAAAAATCTAGAGATCAACTTGAAATTTAGAATGAATCTTCCTCTCATGATAACAATGTTTCGTATTGAAGATAGGTTCAATCGCATCAGTAGTTTCGGAGATATTCGACTTTTTCTGAAAATCTTTTACATGGCATATCTTTAAATGTACGCAACCGAATTCACTTTTTTTCAAACGTAATGTCCAAAAATCTATGAAATAGCTTTCCTTCACAATTTCCCGATTATTCTCCCTATCCAATGCCACATCGTCAACCGAGAACCCGAAAAGTGCAGCATCAACAAATAACATATTCCAACATAAGGCTAGTGGACTCGCTATTTCAACAGAGTAACACCTCGCAGGTGAAGAATCGCCAGTGCGAAATCCAGCGCGCCTAAAACCGCTGACCCAACAGGTCAATTCCCTCCAAGAATAAAAAGTGGGAAAATCACGCCATAATTTCCACCAATCAAAAGCAAAATCGTGTATCGATCAAGAACCGACTCACTCCCCAAAAATTAAAATCAAAATGAGTCTAGAAGCAATCGTCGGAGCGTTAATTTGACTTGGTGGAAATTACTGACGGAATCGATCTGTCTCTTTCGGTTCCCGCTACTCATAACTCGCCTGGAAAACGGTTATCGGGAGTGGTAGTTATCGAACATAGCTCGTAGCTGAGTGAAAGAAAGTTGCGCAGGGATACTGCATCCTTAAATCGAAAGTAGTAGTGTTTCTTGCATTGTAAGAGAACAAAATTAGCCAGTTTACCGTGATTGTGGACATTCTCACTTAAAAACACTTTTCCGAACTTTGTTAAATTGTACACGAGTGGGTAAAAGTGATCCAATAGGAAGTATTCATAATAGGATCAGAGAAAACTCTAATTCTGGTGGAGAAAAACCTCATTGAAGGATCCACAACTAGAAATATAAGGATTACTACTAAAACCATCATCAACTGTAAGTTCAATTATCAATAACCTTCAACCATTTTGAAGACCAAAGCAATCCACTATCAGACTTTGTAAAAAGACTTTCCAGCGATAAAATATTAACTTAATATCAATTTCAAAAATCAACAATTCAACCACGATTCAAATTGTAAATTTTTCATTTGTAATTATCAACAAAGTCGAAATTATAGAAGATTACTTTTGAACAGAAAAATTGTCTCGGAATCATTTAACTATTTCCTTACTTCAAATATTCCTCATCCTTTCAGTATCCCAATTTCGATTTTCAAAATTAGTAACGTAAATCAAGGTAAGAGATAAATTACACCTAGCGTCGTTCAATATAAATCAAAATATAAAAGTATCTGGCTTAACAATTCCTTTCGAAGTATAGCTTTCCCATATTTTTATATCAAAAATTCTAGATTGTTATTTTCCCGTAATTTACAATTCTACCCAAAAAGTGTCCTTCGACGCTGACACGTCTCCGGACATAACAGCTAGAATTTCATGGCGCAGTCGGTAGGACGATCTAGGCTTCCTTTCACTCTTACCGCCTAATAATAATAAGGAATTTACTCGGTTCACATATAAATTCCTCCAGTTCGGTTTATACAACAAAGTTCGTTTTGAATGTCGGTATTTTCATAATATCGCATAATATCGGGAAAAACTTCTTCACTTTCCCTTTTCTTTTCCTTTTTTTTTGTTTTTGTAGTATTTAAACTTTTCCAAAATTCTACTCTCAAGAGTATTCCCAGACTTACTCTAGAATTATCCCATAATGGCAAACTCTTCTATAAATATTGGTTATACCGGCGATTCAAATATCGCCGGGCAAATCACTGGGAATCATGAAGATTACATCAAAGCGCGGGATATTGCTAGTAGTATACCAATTTTTTCCGGAACTTCTGAGCATGCAACCCTAGACGAATTTGAATATGCCCTTAGGTGTAATTTGTTATCAATCCCCACCGAAGATGGCAAGAAAGAGGAATATATCTTACAAGTCCTGAAACGCCTTTTGCCTCCTGCGAAATTTGCAGTCGCGAATAAGACCCTAAATTCAGTAGAAGACATCCTGAAAATCCTTGTCAAAAGATTCCGAGGTCAATATAATTTTTTGTATTATCTGAATAAAGTCCGTGGGTTAGTCAAATATACCGAAGAACCCCTGGAATGTTTTTTGGAAAGAATGGCAGCTTCGGTTCAATTTGGGTTGAGAATAGTTGAGGGTGAGCCGGAGGCCACGAGACAAGCTCTAGAAAGTTTGATGAATCAAGAGGCCTTGGCCAGATGCAAAGAATATGCATCCCCGGCAGTAAAAGACACAATTCGACGTCAGAAGATTAAGAAAATCGCTGACGTGCTGAAAGTACTTGACACTGATGAATTTCGAACAACTATGGCGCTCCCAGCCCCAGAAATACCAAATCACCACCAATTCCGGTATGTGACAGAATATCCCTCAGTCGGGATTCAGAACAACGTTTGGTCGAACACAGCGGGTAACCAGATGTCTAACGGCTACCAATACCAACAGCAACAGAGTCAGAGATACCCAGTCCATCAACAGTATCAAGGACCCTACAATACACCGTTACCCTCTACACCAACACCTACCAGAAGCTACGGAAACCCTGGATTCCAGGCCGGTTACGGGCAAAGGACTCAAAAATCAAATAATGATCTGGTTGCGGCACTCCTCAACGAATATATCCCTCGAAGGCGACCTCCTGATACACCAATAAATGGGGTGTCAAGACAACACTTCCCACCACCTCCAATGTCAACCATAAATCCAGTTGTCATGGGAAGCGTCTCACCTGAAGCCTTGCTCCACCAAATGAATCTTACAGAACCATGGGGTCAAGACACAGTTGAAGATGTACCAGTGGATGCAGGTCAAGTTCAGCAGCTCGCAGCGATCTTAGCGGGTACGCAACGCCAAAATGTGGAACATGTTCCTCATGTTCCTCAGAAAGAGAACAAGGATGACCTGAGCGAAATTAAGAACCTCCTTCAGAGCCTTGTGATCGAACTC